CCTCAGGAGGCTCCTCAGGAGGTTCCTCATGGGGACTCTCAGGAGGCTTCTTGGGGGAGACCCTCAGGAGGCTCCAGCTCCTTTCTGTAACCTCCGCTGCCTCTCTCTGTGTGCAGCACCCAGCCCATACTAATAGGGCCAGGAACCAGTAGCTCGATCTCCTCCTTGTCCTTTGGTGCAAGGGGGGCCACTGGCCGCCTGCGTGACACTGCTGAGGGACACGGGCGAAACCTCAGAGGTCTCCAGCAATGGCTCCCTGGGCAGGCGGCCCCAATCCCGCTGTATTTCACTCTTTGACCCAAATTTCTCCCGCTGAAATTTGCCCTTTGACCAGCTCACCAAGGCTCTCCTTACTCGTCCTCCCACCTGACCAAGCGCCCTTCTCAGCCGCGTGTCTCTGTGCAATCTCTAAACATTGGTGCCAAAATATCCCCCAAAAAACCATCAAAAGGAGGATGGAGTGGGGGGGTGATCCATTTGGGAAGGCTGTTGGGCTCCTGCACGACTATTTGGCCACGTTTCACCCCGGGATGATCTGAGTGCCGGGAAGATGAATCCCAGGAAAGCCAAGGCAGCAGCAGTTGCTATGGAAATCCCTCGCGCTTCTCCCTTCTGCTTCTTTTCCCCTATTTATTGGGGCCCTAAAACAGCCTCTTCCCTTTCCACCACCTTTGGTCTCGGGGGTCCTGCAGCTGAGAAGGTGCCTGCAGAGACGTCCTCCATCCTCAGCCCTGAGTGGAAAACCCGCTGCTGCAGAAGGGACAGATTCATTCCCTGGCTTGGCAGGTCCCCATGGAGCTTCCTGGTCCCCCAGCCTTGGAGCTGGGACCTGCGGAGGCCCCCGGGAGGGAAACGGGAGCCTTGGAGCAGGACTGTGTGGAGGCTGGCGCTGGCCTGCAGAGGGTATCCTAAGCCCGTGCAAAGCTCTCGTTCCCACATCCCTGCTTGGAAAACTCTGCCTTGCTGGAGCCGTCAGCGTTCGGTGCAGCCTCCTTGTGTCCTGCACTAGTCCTGCCCGTTTGCATGGAGAACAGGCATTCCCAAATGCTGGAATGTGCTCCCGGCTCCCACTGCAACTCCACGGAGCTTCTGGAGACATATTGCCTTGAAGGTGCTATCAGAGACGTTGTCCCTACAGTGCAAGTGCCTCGGGCTGCAGGCGTTTTCCATGGAAAACACTTGCTCCATATGGAACACTCAGCTCCGACGTCCCTTCCAGGCATCCTGAGCATGGCTGCTCATTCAGGAGCCTGCGGAGCTCTTGGTGTTGATCCCTCATTGGGGTGGAAAGAGGAAAGGGGATGCGGCAGCTTCTCGGAGATGAAGGGGACTAGGGGTGACCCAAGAAACCGGCTGCAGAGGTGACCGCAATGATCCCCTTGAGGAGCTCAGGGGTGATGCTGGCAGCCATGGAAGGGGGTGGCTTCTTTCCCATGTTTTTCCATGAATTTCAGCGCCGGAGCAGATATTAGCCGCTTCCTGAGGGTTGGAGGTGAAACTCCGGTTGCACTGGAGCAGGTTGGTGAAGGATGGATGTGTCCTATGGGGAGGTCGGCTCCGTGCCTGGGGCAGGAGGGAACAACACGAGGACAACCAATGTCCCCAGTGCTCCTCACCAGCTCCTCTTCCCATCCATGTGCCGCAGAACCAGCGTTTCCCTCCTCATCCAACTCTCTCCATCTCCACAGGGTGCCCAGGGAAGCCAGTGGGGAATGGGGCCACCTGGGACATCGTTCCTGATTATCCCTGTGTCCCTGCTGATGGAGGATGACCATCCTGATGGAGGGGAGAGGAAGGAGCTGGGAATCAACCCCCCTGCACAGTGTTTCCCTCCTCCACTTCTCCTCGGAACCATGTGGGGATGGGAGGAGCTTTCTGGGACCGGTGGGGATGTTGAGCGTGGTCAACACGGCCTGGAGGTCCCCACGGAGATGCCAATGGACAAGGTGACCCACCAGGATCTCGCTGGCTTCCCTAAAACCTGCCTGGGTGGATGTTCCCACCGGGATGGGGTTTCATCTCGGTGTCACTGTCAAAGCGGTGCCGGGTGATGGGCATAGGGAGATCTCCAAGGCTGGATGAAGGGAGGACAGAATGGGATAATAACCTGGCTGATGGGGGAGGTTCCCAGTCACCCGGTGCCACCAAGTGACGGTGGGACAGCTGGGGCGTTAGGGATGGAGTCATCAGGACCAGCCCAGGGCTCTGGCAAGGTCTGGGATGTTGGATTGGATTCAGTGCTGCCGCTGCTGATGGTGATGATGATGGTGATGATGATGGCGATGAGGGGCCCCAGGCCAGGTGCCCATGGTCCCTCGCGTGGACCCCGTCCCGCGGTGGCTCCGGGGGCTCCGGAGCGCAGGGTTAAGCACTCGGCTCCCCGCTGCTCCCACCCTGCGGCGGGACTCCTGCCACCCGCCCCCGAAGGGGGAAAATTAATAGTATTAATAATAATAATAATTATACCCACCCCCCGCGGGTTCCCCCCCGCCCCCGCTGCCTTTAATACCCACCGAGACGCTC